ATTAAGACATCATTTTTTATTTTTTATTACTTTTATTAAGACACTGTCGTCTTCACCTATTAGGTTATAAATAATTCCAAGCTCTCTTTTGACACAACGCAAATCAATTCTTTCATTTATTCTTCAATCTTCTACCGCTTCACTCCTCAGTGCATCAAACCTCGAAACTATTTGGAGTGATATGGTATGGAGGAAACAAAAAGTGTTAGAACATTTGGAATTAGTGCCACTGACTTACATTAATCATGTCGTTCTATGTGAAGTAAATATTTGCTCGGGTCACTGTTTATTTTGGGATCAATAAGTGCAATTCATTTTGAATTTTACTTTCTGAAGAAAAACTAGATAAAAATTTACAAGTATTGATTGGAGTTCCTTCAGATGACATTGTGGGGATTCTATGTAGGTATATTTATTTCAGACATCGTTGTTCACGTGGCTCAGGCCCAATGAATTAAGCCTTGACACGGCGCTTCTGAAGCACTGCGTTGTTTTTTTCTGACGCAAGCTCTGGAGCTTCAGCTTTAAACTGACCATCGCTAGTTGCAGAATCCTGGTTCAGTCGGTCAAATAATTGGCAAATGTCCACGGAAAGTACTAAAGTGATTTTATGTTTTGTTTTGTTTTGCTTTCTTTGTCCATCTCCAGCTGTGCTCCAATGGTAGTCTGAAATATTTTCCAGCTGTGATAAAGATGGCAGGCTTAAAACAAAGTGATGAAAGAAAGAAAAAAAGACCCATGACTATTAATTCAAGTTTAGTTATTATTATCTTACATTAACCATAACAGATGCTTAGCAAAAGCAGGCGCATCAAACCAGCTCACATTTCAGTGTTCATTGCAAATACATGTTAATACTTTAGATTAACATGCAGAATCGAATGTTCATTTGTTTCATTTGGTTGCAAAGGTCATCATTCTCCCATAATGAACCAATGACGAGACAACATATGCTAATGTAAACGAGGGAAACAAAGTTGTTTCCGCAGGGCACTGAGCACGGCGCTGTCCCCACACACTCACCAGAGCTGCTCCCTGCTCACTAAAGCGATGGGTTAAAGGCAGAAGACAGATTTCATTGTGTGTAGTTTTGTGTTGTGCACCAGTGACAATAATTCACTTTCAGCGAATAGAGTAAGAAAATACTATCACCTACAGCCCACATTTCTAAAGAGGGTAAACACTACAGTTCCAGCAGTGTAAGGGCAGAGCTGAGGAAATGATAACTCATTAAAAGTTGAACTCTCACTTCAGTTCAGTCCCCATTTTCCCAGGTCAGTTTTGTTGACGACACAGAAAGCTCCTAATCTGCTGCTATATTATTACAAATGTCAAATGAAAATGTTCTGGTATTTTGCTAAATCCCAGGGTGAGACTGTACGAGTGCACTTACTTCAACCATTACTGATGCCTCAAACTTTCCTCCCAAGAAAGACAACAAATACTGAGTAAGATATTAAAAAAATCAACGTAATACAATTTTTAGTTTTTTCTGTGTATCACTGTCATCCATGTCATCATTAGAGAGCACTTCAACACGATGCAATAAATGAAAATAACCAAAGGCATCAATAATGTCTAAATATTCAACCCTTTTTGTCAGTTTTCTCAATCCGTTAGGGGCTGACAGTGTTTACTGCCTATAATCAAATTCTCAGTTTTATTACTGTATAATCTCCAGAGCACCAGCCTGCCACCTGCTCGGCATATTACATACAAAGAAACGGATCACGGCTTCAGGCTCACGTTGAAACATTTAGAAAGGTGACTCTCTAATACCTTATTCACTGGTGTAGCCAAGGTAGAAATTGCAAATTAGCCCCAATGGATTATAAAATTATTACAATGTGCTTTAGTTTGTGCTCGCGCAGTGGGCAGGAAAAATTCAACCATGTTGACTGATGTGTTCTACTAACTGGAGGATTGAATAGTAACTAGAGATGGGATCCAGCAACGGGCGACAGCAGCTTTTGTATCAGGCAAGACACCTTATTGAAGTTATCTACAGTAAAACTTGTCCATGCAGTACTCTGATAGTTGCATTTCATCACAGCCAGCTGCTGGTCAGCCAGTGATGTGTTTCACTGCACCTCAATGTCTCAGGGCAGTGGTGGCTTGATGGTTAATGAAGCAGGTCCAGAAGGTTTCAGGTTTGAGTCCACCAGCTGCCAAGTTACCACTAAGGTGCTCTGAGCATGGGACCGTCCCCACTCACTGCTCCCATTAAAGCTGCCCACTGTTCACTTTGGTGATGGATTAAAAGATAAAAGATTAAAAGACATTTGGTTGTGTGTGCAGTGACGTGCTGTGTCACAATGACAAGGAGTTCACTTTCCTTCCTTTCTTTTCTCATCACTCATTTCATTTGGTTGAGACTCATTTCATCAATTTGATGGTGTTTTTGTTTAATGCAAAATATATGTTTAAAACAGCTTTTTTTAAATGATCTTTTTACAAATATCCCCCATTCTTAAATCTAAATAAATGGAGTTTGTCCTTTAGAGAGAATACAGTGGATCGTAGAGACAGGGAGAAGACCAAGAGAGTTCACTGTAAGTAATGAGGAGAGATGATGTGTACAGTACCTTATTAAAAATGACTACTACACTCCCTAACATGATTTTACATGCAGCTCTCGCCCTCTGCAGCTGTTCAGTAAGCTGAAGGAGGGGTTTACACGAGACCGACAGTTTGTGTAAAACCATTCATTTTTCTTTTGGCCGACTGACTCCAGTAATCCTGAAAAGATACAGTAACCTGTTATGCATGTTAAGTTGAAACACAAGTCAACAATCATGTTTTTTCCATAATCATGCAAAAAGAGATTAGCTTAATTGAACAATCTAAATTCACCATAGATATGAGTGTGTGTGTGAATGGTTGTTGCCCCTGCGATAAATGAGGTTACACCCCACCCCTGCCTGAAGACTGCTGGGATAAGCTCACCATATGACCCCAAAAAGGAATAAATGGTAAAAGATGAATAAATGAATGAAAACCTCTACTGACAGCTGAAACTACTACCAGGCTGAGAATTAATTTAAATTAAATTTGGTCATTTAAACGCCATGAGATATTTTTTTTACTATTCACCATTAATGTTTATGCAGATTAGTCACATTTAACCTGAAGCTGTTTTTCAATGTTAGAGCTCTTAAAAGGCAAACAACATTGGCAAATGTTGATGTTTGAGATATATGTCAAGATAAATTAAGATCATTTTGTCTCCAGCCATTATACAGCAAAATAAAACGGGATAATTATATATATAACGGGAAAATAGAGTATGAAGTTGATGTCTTACAACTTAAAGGTTTATGATGGGTTCATTTTCCTTCCCCGACCAATGAGCAGATTAAAATTCAGGGGATTCAGCCTTCGTCTAGTGAGAGAGTGCTGTCTGTAATAATCTTCCAGGAAAGATTCTTCTGGTTCTTTGCATTCCTTAGGGAACTACAGAGCTCTGAGGTTCAAGTCATTCTTGTCATCTGAAGACCGATCACATTTGTTGTCATGTAAACACATCAACACAACACACTTTTCTTCTGCATTTAGCCCTTTAACTCTTTCCTGGGGAGCAGAGACCAGAGTCTGCCCCTCATCCCTATCATGTATTCTACTGATAATGATTGGATTATTCCCATTTTATACTATATTAGTCTGATCAATAATTTCCAACTTTGGACCATAGTGTCACTGCCAACTATTTCACCTTTAAGAAGAAACACCTGCCAAATGTGGATGGAAGAAATAGGGTTTTTGCTCCGTTAAGGATAACCAAAACAAAAACAGCAGTGCTAACATCGAGTTGTTAAGACACTAAGCTAATTGGACTGAAGCACTGAATGCAAAGAGTTATTCTTTGATAAATCATGAGAAAATAAAGATTTAATTTTTACCAACCACCGCATTCATCTTCTGTCAACCACTTTCAAGGTAAAATCTTAATACCGCAAATCTTTCTGTACTTATCCAATCAATATGATTTATTCTTACAAATCTTGCATATATTCTTCATTGCCATGACGTTTTTAAGGAAAGACTCTTGATTAAACTTTTCTCTGACTTCAAAATTAGATTATCAAATTACAGTACAGTACCATACAAAATGATTAGCTTTGTCTGTTTATCTCTACATTTTTTATACAATAACAATACTCATATCTGAGCATATTTTCAGGGAATCGGGTCGATTTTATTTAAGTTTAGACACAGGTAACACAACTGGTGAGACTTTCCTGAAGAAATGTTTCATCTAATTCAAGAGGTATTTTAAATCACTCACAGGACGAAACCTCCAGGTTATAACAGCAGTTGTACACAGCTCGTCCACCTGATTCAAGGTGTGATGATTTAGTGATTGTTAGATCCTCCCTAAAGACACAAGTGAGTCTGAGTCTGTGCAACCTAGATCTGCCTCTGTGGAAAACACTGGACCTCGGTGCAGTTGGCAGACAGTTGGTGTCTTAGTCCACCACTGCTGTTGACACATCTGTAGATTGCAGACATTAATGGCTTTGGCCTCTTCCTTCTCCAACTATTTGTCCTCACTAGCAAGAATGTGTCCATTCACATCCTCAAAACTAGGTCCTTTTCTCCAAGGTGCCGTTGGGGAGCGGAATCATGGCTTTAGGCATTGATTCCATCGCATCAGTACAGACATAGTCAAACAAGTCCACGCCAGTTTTACAATTGAAATAAATACACAGTAAATATTTAAAATGTTCATTTATTCAAAACAAGTTAACATCCCACTGCACGTTAGTTAGCAAGTGAAGGAAAACTGCTATGTGGATGTAAAGAAGTATCAGTAACAAAGCATATCTCTGGGTTAACTGAATGGCCCAGGGGCAACAGAACAAAAGAAAATCCAAATCTCACCCTGTCCTGTCTGAAGATGGAGTTATGGTGTTGGGACCCACCTCCACATCCACCTCAACCTCCTTCACTATGTGTACAGGCTGGAGGAGAGGTCATGATGACGTCACGCAGGGCTGGCCTTGCCGTTTAATAGACAGTGGAGCGAAGTGCCAGGCAGCGAGAGCTTCACACTGCAGCTCTGTCCGACCAGAGGCAGAGGGATGTCCCACTAACTTTAGCAGAAACTTTCTAGAAAACTCCGCCAACAAGAAGAAAAAGACACAGAAACAGTGACTCACAAAAGTGTCGTAACTCGCCTCTGCCCCGTTTTTTATTGAAACTTTATGTACTTTTAACTAAAAAAGAAAAAAAAGAAGAGTCTGCCTTCACGTGCGTATTAATACGTCTTGAATGAGCCGGTTAACGGTTGCGTTTTAAACATTTTTCTTTTCTTTTAAACTTTTAACGACTGGATAAAGTTTGACTCTGGACTCGTGATGGCTGTTCTATCCCTAGCGTTACTCCTCGTAGGATTTATTTTGACTTCAGCCGAAAAGGTAAGTGTCTGGTGCTTGATTTCAACCGGCCGTTGGTCGATTCACTCAGAACCAAGCACGGTCATATTAATTTAAGTTCCGACTGTGAAGTGGGAGAGAGAGTGGAGTGAACTTAACATCTAATATCAATGCGCACACCACTGCCACTGTGAAATACTCGTTGAGACTGCATGTGTGAAGCCTCTTATATAAGACAAGTGAAAAAGAGGCATTTTTGTTAAAATGTTGTTGTTGTTGTTTTTTTGACAAGCAGCAGAGTTAGCTTGACTATACACTGAGCTGCTGCTGCACATCTCAGACTGTTTTCCCTCATGGCTTTGGGCCGCATTTAACCAGAATTTTATTATTTTTGTTTATCTTAACAGGCTGGCAAAGTTGATCGAGAAGGTAAGTCCTATTTTTTTTCCTTTGTCCATCTTTCCGAGTCGGATCGTAGTGTTGGAAAGTATAAGAAGCTAAGGAGATAGAAAGTCAGCATGGCAACTTGGTTTAAGTGAGATCAAAGTGGGAGGGGAGTGTGTGAGGAGCTCTGTGTAGTACACACTCTTTACTCCCCTCTCCTGCCACCCTACAATTCCCTCTACTTACTCAAACACACACACAGACACACTCACATATTACATGAGCAAACTGCTTCAAGGGCTTTGTTATACAGGAAAGAAAATTCCTCTTCCAAATCCTGCACATCTGTTATCCATCCTGTGGTTAAGAAATGAGAGGGGTTCCATGTTGTGTCCACGCAAGATCCCTTTAAACCGGCTGTCATCGTCCACACTCCTCAAGGCCCTTAAAAAATGACAGTTTTTACTGTAGTACTGGAGGTTGGTGGCCACCCTGTTGGCTGGTGTCTGCTACTGTTGCCTCCTCCAGGTCATTATCGGCCTTGTAAAGCAGCTACTTCAACCCTTTAGAGTGGCTTTCTGTTCACTCACACAGCCAGTTTGTAGGTCCCATGCACGAACCAGATGTAACAGTGAGTTTTATTGAGCTACATGAGGAGATTATTAGGTAAACGTGTGTAAATTTAATTGGGTTAACCCTTTCATGCATGACGATCACTACAGTGGACAGCCATTAAAATGTAATTTTCTATGATAAGAATAGGTTTTGATGGCAGTGTTGCATATAAGCCTCTACAGTGGATTCTCAGGCTTCCACTGTAGAGGCTTATATGCAACACTGCCATCAAAACCTATTCTTATCATAGAAAATTACATTTTAATAGCTGTACACTGTAGTGACCATCATGCATGAAAGGGTTAAAATAAAATTGTACCTGGAAAGAAATGTCAACATTCAAACCTAATTTGAAGTAAACAGGAGTAAACCTTGTCATTTAACTACCTTAAAATATTTTTTGTTCAAAATAAGGAAAATGTACTAAGGCCAACACGATCAGTGGGAACTAATGGCATACTTAAACTTAATTGCATTCATATTTGCTCTACCTTTTTGAATGCCACCGTCGGTTATCAAATGTCAAATTTTCTGAAGTAAATTGAAGCTGCCTGCAGGAAATATTGTCTGAATGTCACATATTTTCTTTCATGAAACTTACCAAGAAACTGGTTTTGAAATTGTGGTCTAAATTTTCAGGTAATGAACAAGGATCATAAAAATGTATCAGAGTTCGCAATTTAACTAGTCTAAGGGATTTAAGTATTTACCATCGCATATTTGAAAATGACAGCTGAAACAAGCTGTTGTAAATGAAGTGTCTCGATAAGTAATCGGCTTCTCAGATAACTGCAGGGTGGCATTGTCTAAATCCATTCATATACAATAAACAGACACCAGTTTGGTTTAGGAGTCATATGAATTTTTTTTAATGATCCCCATGTATTTTCAGTGCACTGTAGTGTCTAATGTCCCTTAACACCTTTAGTCATCCTTGACTCACAGTCTGCTCATGTTTAGCCTCCTGATTTTGATGAATATTGTTGCATACAGTATATTTGTCACTTAGACATCTTACCTACGGGAACACTTTCAAGTGCCCAGGGAGATTGACAGTTCAAATCTGACCTTGCAGTTTGTCTTGCACGCTGGTTGGTGGCTCGCATTTGGTGTTTGGTGGGAGGCATCCATTATGACGCATCAAGTCCTTTAATACCGTCTCAAATTTCTCTTCACCTGCTTGCCCTCGTTCTCACTTGTCCTTCAAATTTTCTCGCATCTTTTTTTCTCTGTCTAATGGGAAAAAATGCTTCTGTTTTCTCTGCCTTTTTAAATATACAGAACAGATGGATTTCAAATTCATGGTTGGGATTGTTGTAGCCCAGATAAGTACATCAGACACATTCCCACAAGAACAAATCCCCCATGTTGTGCTGTAAAACTAAGCCTTTATTTTTTTAATTCAATGTAAATATTTCTTTGAAACTTTAGGGCTCCAAGTAAAACTAAGGCCTAAAATGTGTAAATTATTATTATTTCAGGTTCTAACATGTATTTACTTTTAAAATAAACCACGTGCATAACTCTGCTGTAGAGGCAGGAGGATGATTACCTCGGAGTCGCTCAGACAGGTCAAATCCCTAGTGTGTTTATTCAGAGATGCTGCCTGTCTTACTCCTTATCAGCAGAGCACAGTTACAAACAGTAGGCTGGTGCCTGAGAAGCGGAAAATTCAATGTGTACTATCAAAGTTTGTACGACCCCGGCAATAAAATGCACATGAACCATTACAAGTCTGTAGGCGGGTAATTCACTGGAACAAAATTTTAATTACTGGCCAAAACACATGCATGGAGCATGGCTTGGTTGAAGCTAACCCACAAAAGAAAGACGAAGTGAATTGTCAACCTCGAAACAATGTTTTTTCAGCATGTTTTACAATGATAGTGAGCACGTCAGGAAAATATTATGAAACTTTTTAGGAAGTCGGAGTATGTAAGAGCATCCCTGCATGTAAAAGATTAAAACTGCAGCTGCATTTGGCAGAATATCCAGTTCCTCAGCCGTTACGAATACTACGTCACAAACTATTGGCACATATCAGTCGGCTGCTACACTGAAAATGCCAGCGTAGCAGCACTTTCTCAACACCACTTTTTGTTAATGTTGACTTGAGGATAAAACATTCTGGGCTATAAAAACTACAGTGCTTCAGAGGAGAGGATGTATAAAAGCCAATGTCAAATGGTGGCCAAACCAACAATTCTATTTGTTGAAGAATTTGTACTGTAGTTTTCACACATACCGTATGCTTGGTGATTGGTGTATTTGACGCCAACATGAAACAAGAATTTTAGCAATGCCAGACACTAATTCTAATTCTGTACAAATGATGTGTGTGGCTAGACAAGGCAACTGAAATTTTAAGTACAAAATAAAAGTTTTAGACAACAGAAACACCAAATGCCAGAGCAGTCAGTTCTGTTAGACAGCAGAACTAGACCTAGTATAGTCCATTCACGTTTTAGAAGTAACATCACCTTTTTGGGATTCTTTTTGATTCATGCAAAAATATTTTTGGACTAACAGGCAGCCACAGCAAAGGTGCTGAAGAACCACATTCTGCCGACCGCTGCTTGAATGTCAAATTAACCTTATTCCCCTTATTTTATAGCACAAGCCCGTCTTTATATTTTGACTTTTAGGAATTCGTAGTTACCCCATTTACTCTCTCCATGTTTGTTTGTGTTGCCTTCTGCAAATTTCTTTCCTCTGTGTGTGTTGTACAAATCAATGTAAAAGGTTTGTAAACAGTGTCATGTCATGGTGAAAAAATATACAGTAAATATATAAGTTAAGATGAACTTGAAGGTTTTAGAAAACTCTTTCTTTTAAGTAAAGAAAAGCCTTTTGAGAGTAAACCTGGGAGTGTCAAAGTTTAACTTTGAGACTTTCTTTAAGGTTTCTCATAGGTGCCTTGAAGAGGCAAATTCCAGAGAAATATGTACGTAACACTCTCTGAATATACACCGAACGTACACAGGTTGTGCAACCTTTTTAGCTGCTGCGGTCACACAAGAGACTATGTGTCTGACTTGTTTGCAGTTGGACTTAAGATAACATAATGTTACTCTTCGGTACTTGCTCTGTAAGAAGGTCTTTGATGCGTTTGCATGTTTCAGATCAGGCATGTGCCTGCCGTTTACTTCAGAAATGAAGGAATGACCAATGATCTTAACCTCTTGACTGTGTCAAGCTTTTAAAGTCAACAAATGTTATCAGTCACATCAAACTGTCTAACGTGACATCTGCTGGGTTCACCTCAAAAGCTTGCAAAATGTATGTTTTCTGTAACATAACGTGTCCACAGCTTCCACACTATGATTTGTAAGGCATGTAATTTCCTGAGATGTGTAATTTAGGTTTCACCACGTACATGTGCTCGAATGTCTTTTAGTCAAAACTTACAAGATAATTACCTGGTTTTAATGTCACTACATTTTTCTAAACCGAACCCACGAAAAAATTTTTCCATCCACAAATTAGAAAAACAAAGCGAATGGAAATATATTATACATTTCTGGATGGTTTCCCAGAGACAGAAAATTAACATTTAAAGACCCTTTGGGATGGGCAGTGGTACTCACTCTTATCTATTTAGGCATGCATACAGGAAAGGAGATCTGATCTAATCTAAAATATGCTAACATAACTAAGATAATCTCTTTTAAATTAAAATGTTACATGTATTCAATGTCCTTTAGTTTTGCACGGATGAAACATTGCAATGAGTGCCATATTCTATTTTTTCATTTAAAGTGAAACAGCTGATATTTAAACTGTAGGAATATGCAAATGTCTCTTTCAGATTTGTAATTTATTTTCATGTTTTTTTTTTCTTTCTACAGATCATTTAAGAAACCGCTTGAAGGAATATGGCTTGGTCACTCCCTTTAGCACAGACTCTAATGGACGTTACCTGTCACACCTGCTCTCAGCCAATCACAAGAGAGTCAAGAGAGAAGCATTTTCTTTTGAAAAAAACGAACAGAAAATTTTCTTCAACATTACAGCCTTTGGAAAAGAGTTTCACCTTCGACTGCGCCTAAACAGCAAGTTGGTGGCACCGGGTGCGATGGTGGAATGGCACGATGATATTCAAGGATTTGGGAATGTCACTGACAGTGAGCCCACGGAGAGGGTACTGCAGCGGGAGCTGCTGAAAGCAGACTGTGCCTTTATTGGAGACATCTCGGACGTTCCTGGGGCCACAGTTGCTATTAACAACTGTGACGGACTGGTAAGTCCTCTTCAGCCATAAAGCTCTTACTATCCCCACCCCTTCAAACTCATTCTTTTCTTTACAAAAGTGCCATGACCTTATCAAGTGACCACCAGGGATTTTAGATGTCAGCTACCTCTAAATTGAACATTACTTTACGTCAGCACTAAACATTTTTACATCACATTGTTCTGTGACATATTCTTAACGGGGGCAGAGGGAATAGCTTTTTGTACAGAAGTTTGTTACGGATGAGTGGCCATCCATCGCTTTCACTTACCCAAAGCATTTACCCCCAACATTTCCCAACATAAAACACAAGTCTCCTTTTGTAGTTTACAAAAGTCTGCGGTCCTATCCTCCCTATCACCCCCTATAAAACACTTGAGCAGTGATTGGGAAATGACCTGGGCCAAATTTCACAAGATCACAGGAAAATCTCTGCATTCAAGGAAACTTTGCAAAAGTTTAAATGTTGTAATTCTTAGCAAGAAAAAGCAACATGCTTTGATAATTATTATACATTTTGTTCTGGAGCTGCAAGTAAGTCCTGTTTTTATTCAAAGGTTTTCATTTGGTAACTTAAATGTAGAAGATATTAAACCATTTACATTTCGTGTCCCCCACACTGACTTTAGAAAGTTAAATGCAAAGTAGAAAAAAGCACAGGCAACAGAAAATACTTGTGTTTAATAGTTTCTTTTACAATAATGAATTCTTCAAACTGCACAATGAGTCTGACTTCTTCAGTGTTCTATGTAAAAAGCCAGTGTTATATTGCAGAGAATGTAGATGTTTAAAAAAAAATAAAATAAAAAATGATACCATGTGAAAGTGTCTAAGGGTAGAGTTGTTTGCCAATGGACAGTAGTGCCAGTAGGTGGCAGTCATGCAATTTACAGATTCTAGCAGTAAACGCAAAAGTAAGTGTAAAGGGGAGGGCCAGGATCAGCTAACGCAGGTTAACTTAAATTTTGTTTATTGATTAGGGAAGGGAGTTCTACTCTTTAAAATACATTTTTAAATGTTTTATTTAAAGTGGTACTTAAAGTTGTGTTGCAACAACCTTGTGACGTACTCCCCTGGAGATCTGCTATTAAAATAGAGGCTCTAAGAATTCAAGGTTGTCTGACTCAGAAATGTCAGGAGATGCATTTCTTATATCCAGTTTGCAAAAAAAGCTAAATTAATTCCTTGCTTTGGTAACAAGTTTTGACAGAAAATATATTTTTTACCATAAGCTATTGCTTAAGTGCATTTCAGGAGCTGAAAGGAAATGGTGTTGCAAAAATGAGTCATAGCGTTGTGGTTGCACAATCAAATAATGTATAAAATAAGCATTAAGCTTAGAAAGATTATTAGACAATTCCCCTTTTATAATATATATGGGGTAATATGCCCCTCAAAGTGTTTGAGTAAAATGTTTAGGTTTTTTTTTTCAAATTTCAAAACAGAAATTTGATCAAGATTTAAATAAATATTTAAATCTTATTTAGCAGGACAGAGAATACAGTGACAGAGGGCACAAAGGGATGGATTTTAAGGTATTTTTTAAGGATTTTGACTATTGCTTTGGTGCTGGAGAAGGGACAGGCTGAAAAAGGTTCTTTTCTTTTACAGTATTTACAAAAAAAGAGGCTATATGTTTTCAGGAGAAGACCCTACATTACAGCATAGCTATTTTCAGCCATGACAGTTTTTTGCATAAAAAATGGGTCATGGGTCACCACCACACAAGAATGTCACAAAAATATATATGTATCAAAATAAAATTATCTACTTGTTTCGGTTTACCTTCTCAGTGCGAAACCATGGCCTGCTTAGTTGAAACTGTGATGTACTCGCAGGTGTTGATGAAAGACAAACTTGAAAATGACATTTGCTGCCATTTATTAGAAGAGGATATGTTTCATTTTATTTAAGGAGCATTTTTTTCACATTTTTTGTTTTGTTTGTAAAGGTGCCTGTGTGACATTTGGCATGTGGCTTAAAGTTATACCTGAGAGCCTGCTTGTTTTTTATAGGGTTTTTCCCTGGACAAAATGAATCTATAATGTCAAATGCTTTAGGGGAAACCCCAATTACCAAAATATCCTTATATATTGAGTATCGCCACTCAATGTAAAAATGACTAAGACTAAAACATTATGATTGTACTGTTACATTCCTAGAGATTGTGTCATGTTTTGATTCAGAGAAAAGACCAAAAGGCACCTTTCAGATGTTTGTATATTTATTCTTCACCACAGAAAAACTCTTGCAAAAGGACAGCGGTCAGTGTGTCATTTCTTGTCTGCCTTTTTTTAACATAGGTAGGTGGAGAGTTTAATAACAAATAAATTTGAATCTGCTGATCTGCAACAATGAAGCAGCAAAGGTTTGATTTAAATGATATTAAACCAGTTTTTATTGAATGAGAAACATATTTATCTTCCTAAGCTTCTGCTATTGGGAAAGTGAAAAAGAGGCAGACCCAATTTTACGTTACTAAGTGAAAATGTCTACAAATAGACATAACACATACAGTATCAAGATGGTAAGCCAAATTTATTATTCTTAAATTTGTTCTTCATTAAATTATTCAGTGTTTTGTTTAATTCTATCATAATTTTTATTCCAAAGGAAATATACTATATCTATAGGCATGACTTGATCTTTGGTTTGTGATATAAACAAACAAGAGGATGAGAACAAAAAGTAAGAATAAAGTAGTCTCTAAGGTTTTAAATTAATTATGATTTATAAAAACAAGAGATTGTTTAGCATCTGTTGTTTAATCTCTGATAAACTTCCTCAAATGTTCAAAAACCTCAAAAATTTAGTCTGTGAACAAAGCCACAACTGGTTTATTCTGTTTTAACTTCAAAAACTGCAATAAACACCATTAGACTGGACATTTATGTACAAAATTATATTTAAAACATTGGAATTCTTTTCATCTCACTGTTGTTATTGAATCACAAATTGTCCCCAAAGACCTTCTTTCTGACTTTGGGAAATGCTAATTTGCTCAATAGCTAATTCAATCTGAGGTGGAACAATTCAATGACATTTATTTTGACACTGAGCGCCAGGCTGCATATTAAGTTTATCTGAAAACTTGTAAGCCTCACATGCTTTCTTTATAATTCTATATTTAGCATCTGCTTCCATTTCTATATTTATTTAACCTTTCCCCTCTTCCTAAACATAACCACTCAATGGCAATGTCAAGCACACAACAAAGATAATGTCTGTCGGTCCTTGGCATGCATGATTTGGTCGTTTCCTTTAATTTGAGCAAAAGGAAGCAGTTTGTCACTAAGACAGAGTCAGTCTTTTTCTCTGGGTCGTTTATAGTTGAACTCTCAGAGGAGATGGCCTTGAAGGGGAGGGGAGCACACAGGATGTGAGGAGTCTGCTTTGTAAATAGTTTTGGAGATGCCAAAAGTCGTAACAGGTCAACTGCTTTGCACAGTGAAACGGGAATATGACTTTGCTGCTGCTGTAAAGTCTCACAGTATACTTGATATATGTGATTTGGTGCATCTCAGGCAGAATCTCATTTATTAGTGGTGACAATTTCATTAAATAAAAGGGAATATCATTTGAATTTTAAAGCAGGAGAATGGATGAAAACATTTGTTCGATTTTTAAAACAAAAAAGGTTGTAGATGATGGAGACGGGGATGTTTTGTGTATTTAGTAGACAGGGGCCGAGGTGATTAAAAATTATTAGTAGACATGACAAAGGAAAAGTATGTGGGTAGCAGCAACAGTAGGTTTCACGAGGTGGAAGCTATGAGTTAAAGGTGTGTTGTATGATGTACACCATGGGTTCCCAACCTCCGGTCTGGGGAATAAGGCTGGTCCGTAGGTCATTTGGTACCGGGCCTCAGTGAGATGCAATGAAAAAATGTTCTTCAGTTTTACTAATTTACTTCATTCAAAAATAATCCAGCCATATTCTTTTAGATATCTCATTAAAATAAACACACAGTGTTTCAAAACAATAGGTCATTCAGACTCTTATGCTAACAGAATAAGGTCTAAAAGTTAGTTTTATTTTGAAAATGTAATGATCCTTCAACAATTCACGTGATATTACCGGTCCAAGAGAACGCTAATGTAAACAATTTATGAGCACCAAAACATAGGTGTCAGATAGTAGAAAAGGAGGTATTCTGGAGCAGGCTGGATGAAGTCCTTCAAGGTGTGCCACGAGAGGGCTGACATGGTGTTAGAAAAGGCAGTGCTGTAGGGCATATAGTTGTGGAGATGGCAAAATAGATAAAAATGTCTGTGATCAACAAATTATTTAAGAAGATGCAGTAACTTTTGGTGGAACACATGATTGATTATTCTCTTTCCTGGAAGTGCTGTGACTAAAATAGAAATAGAAAAAGTGTAAAATTATGCCAGGGATGAACATAGGAAAGTGAGCTGCCAACAGGGTCAACAAAGAAAGTATGCAAAGACAGAACCAAGAATAAAATGGCATAAAAATTGGAAATATTACAAATGGCAGTGTTGCAGTATCTTCATGGAAGAGTTGCCAGAAGCAGGTAGTATATGTGGTAAAGATGGGAGAGCTGAAGTACATGAAGTTAATGATCTGGAACAGCCAGTGCACAATAGAAGAAACGGTTTGGACATGTGTTGAAAACACTGTAAATGTTGCAGGAGGAGTTTGTAGGTAGGAGAAAAATAGGAAGACCCCATAGTTTTGTTTTTGTTTTTTGACAAGAGATGGAGGCAAATGATGAAGGCAACTCTGCACTGTCCTTATGGTATAGACCAAAGGAAAAGAAAGATAAATGGTCATTCACTAAAAACATTAAACTGCCCTCTAATAATATCAAAACCACATCCCCACTACAATTAATGGACCAAAAATAACAATCCCTCTTTGGAAATCCTTTCTGTCCAGTAAATAAGCATTTGATTAGGAGGAAGCATTGCATAAGGGAACGAAAATCAGAAAAAAATGAATATTGCCCATGCAAAATAACCCATGAATGAACCATGGAGGACAAAAA